TAATTCTTTGGACCACTAGATTTGTTCCCTGTAGTAGTATTTATATATACGATTCTACTGAATAATTGAAAATATAGTTTTAGGACTCGAATTATTTCGATTGAATTTCATTTAGAACTAGAAACATATAAAATGGAGATGTTTTATAGGGAAAACATTATACTAATAATTAACATATAGTTAAACAACATTTATAGTAAAAAGATGGGGGAAGAGATATATTAGAGGGTGGGATATCAGGACACCAAGATGGCGACGGCACCATAAATCTCAGACGATAAATGTGGTCACAATCACATCGACATCTTCCCTCAGTTTGTCAATATTTCCTGTGATATCTGAGGCTACAACCTACGTATGTCTCAGTAGTTAGAAGTTATAATCTTCTAACGTATTGTCTTATTTCCTTTTTATTCGCCAAAACTTCAGAATTGATTAGGGTTTCAGCAATAAGTTCTTTTAGGGAGAAAATAACAAGCCTTCACTATCAACAATGAGGAATCAACGTTATTGTAGAATACAGTAAAACCTCAAGCCGATTGTTTAAATCAGGGACCTATGGTATGTGAGCAAGCCACGAATATTAAGCGAAAATCTTACCAAAGCCGCTTTCCACAAAAATGTTTGTAATTCCGATTCAATTTTACATTGCTCTATGACTTCTTTATGTAAAGATAAAAAAAAAGTTAAATATTTTCTGCAAAAGAATCAAGATTAAGATATGTAAAGATATAATTTCGAATTTATTCATTTACGGAATATCTTACTTTGGCCTTTTTATTAAGATCTTAAGAGAAGTTTTTTAGTGTGTTTGAATATTATTATAACGCACATCTCTCATATCTTCATTTAAATATGAGATAAATTAATTTGCGACTATAAACATTAATATATTGGGATAAATTATTGATTTCATAAAAATAACGATAATGTTTGTAAATTTCCTAGAAAACTGAGCAACAAAATAATCCAATATACACATACTCTTTTAAAATGGAAAATCTGAGTACAATCTTTAAAATTTATTTTTATATTATATATCAAACATTTTTTTTTTCCTTTTCAAAAAAATAAAAAAGATTCTAACAGACAATACCGCATTGATAAGAAAATTGAAGTCCAAAAAATGTATAGCCATATAGATATAGTAAATATACACCAACATACACCTAAACTCTGTTAACAAATATTTTCTTAATTAATTAATTTTTTATTGAATCTTTTTTTGCAAAAAAAAAAAAGAAAACTTCCACACACTGTTCTACGAATATAAATATGAAATTTTACTCCACTATTTTAAAATAAATATTAAATCACTTCAATTTATGTGAAGAAATATTTTTTATATTTTGTTTAAAGTTCAATTCCTCAATCATTAAATCAACAGTAATTTTATTTATTCACTAAATTTGTTTTGAAAAATAGATAACTAATTTAAATAAATAAATAGCATCTTAAATATAAAAATGTGCTAAAATAAGATATTTATTTTAATTACGATCAAGCAGATGTAGGCTTGAAATTATTTTTATCATATTTATTGAATTTGGAAAAATAAATGCAATCTTTCTTCATTATAATATCTCTCAATTCTACAAATCAATTTTAAAATTACCTTCATAAGACAATTTGACAATTTCAAAATAAAATATTATCAATTTAAAATATATCTCAAATATATATATAACAACAAAGTATCATTCACATTTTTATTGTATTTAAAATAATAAATTTAGAATATTTATAAAATGCCTTAACAGAAAATCAATGAAACCCTATTTTAAGTGAAAAGGAGGAAATTGATATTTGACCCGCTACCAGATTAATAATCTAAAACGGCCTTTGAAAAGTAAGTCAAGGACGAATTCATATTTGAAGAATAAGTAAACAGACGACGGTAATTTCCGCTATAGAATTTTCGTCTGACAGAATATTGGTCTAAACTAGGTCAAGTTTTAAAGGAAGCTCTATACAATGGCTTACCTTTTGTCAACTCTTTCTTATATATTTACCCCCTTTGTGGGTGGGATTAAAAATAATATTTTTATATATTTTGTATTGAATATTTTATTTAATAGATTCAATTGAAAGCCATATTTTTTTAAATCTCTGTATGTGCGCAATAAATGTATTGAAAACTAAATTATTTACATTGACATTTTAATACTTTTTACTTTCAACTTTTTAACGACTTTCTAGGAACTAATTGGATAATGTTCCCTCTTATACAACGCTCTACGCTCTTAAAATATCGCATCATTAAGAATTTCTATGAAGTATATATAGCAGCCGAATAATTCCTTGAAAAAGACGACACAGGGTCGTTGAAACGTTAGAAGTGTTAAAGAAAGGTTTTGTGTGATATAAATAATTTGCAACTCAAATATATTTCTGTTCTTAAATATTTATATCACATACAGAAAAAAATGAGTGAAAATATATTAGTATGAAAGATGAAATATTATGATTTGATAAAAGGTTACATTTGAAGTTACGAATTTATATTTTTCTATAAATTTTCATATTACTTGTAGTTATTACATTTGAAAAAAAGAAATAATAAAAGGCCAAAATATTGTTTGGCCATAAATAGTTGGGTTAAATTTAAATATTTCTTCTTTTTTTTAATGCGTCGTAAAACATACATAATCCTATTCAAATTTAGTGTGTATTATGCAAAAATACATGTTATAAAATTTATCCATACCCTTCACTCATATTTTATTATTATTACTATCATTATTATTATTATATATTGAAGAAAAAAGACGAAGAAAAGATACGTATGCAAACAACGACAAATCATTTGACTTAAAATACAAAATGGTTGATGGAATAACCATCAAATCCAAAATGACTATTGCTATGACACCTTTCTGGTTAAATATGGCGGTTGGTAGTTATAAAGCCTGCTGTATCTGACTAGTTAAACAGCACACTCACAAAATTGACTTTTTAACACAAAAATAAATTTTGTCGAATCTTAATATATTTTTTTAAATTCTGAATATCTTTTCGCAGTTTTTTATTACGAGAAATGTCAGTAGTAAGTTCTTCAACATTTGATCTAAGAATTGAGAAATATCGCCATATTTCTATGCGGAGGAATAAAATTCATCAACCGGTTTAATATATACACGTACACTTATATACTTAAAGACTAAATCAATATTAGAAAGTAAAAGTTATTCAGATATTTCAAAATGATTTTGTTATCAATAGAAATCAGGAGAGAAAGTGATACCGTGTGTGAACTATTTTTCAAAATGTAATTTCATATCATCTTATAACTACATTCTTACAACTTAGAAATGATTTCTATGGGTTGATACTTAGATAACATCAAGGTATGTTTGCCATAGCTTGATAGAGGCCCGCAAAGTTTGCCATATTTTATATATACAGTCGTTATAGCAGTCATACTTTATGTAACAGCCTTACGATATATTGGTCGAAATCGCGAGTTCCTTTAAAATTAAATTGAAAAATCCCATACTTTATAGAAAGAGTACATGACTTATAACAGACATATTGTCTTGTCCCTTAGGGAAAATGTTATAAAGAGGGTCGACTCTATATACTACTGTAAATATGCGAAATAAACTCTAAAAGAAGAATTACAAAAACAATAACAATACTCAGAATGAAACACTACAAAGAAATGACAATACTTCCAGATGGCACAAGAACCTACAGGACATGCAACAACTATCCTGGTGTGGAACTAACACCTACCCACATATTCTCATGCCCAGATATGGCCGCAACCTTGCAGAAAATTGACATAGACCCAGAGCAGCAGCTTTACACACCCAAGATAGAGGACATTGCAAATGCTGTGATAGAGATGCAGGGGGACATCTGATATTCTTCATTAGACACGCCAACCACAACAACTGTATATATTAGCATATCTTCTATAAAGTATGGATTTTGTTCAATGTCATTTTGAAAGGACTCGCCATTTTGTGCGTTATATCATCGTAAGGCTGTTATGAAAGATAGCTGCAAAAAAAGAAAATTGTTCATTAAAAATGTTAAGAAGTAATTCCAATATAAAAATGTATTTTATTTATACGATGTTTTAATTACCAGAAATTTCATAAATTTAATTTATAGGCTTACTAATATAGCTTAATGAACTTTCTCGAAATGCCCCAAATGCGATTCCCAGCCTGCCAGTCCTGAACATCTATTAAATTGTATCAAATCCTCCAAAAAAGATATCTGTGAAAAGCCCAGAACTATAATAGAAAGCTGAGACAATGGGACCTAGTGGAGATCGTTTAAACGACTTGAGAAAGAAACAACAACAACAATTTGTCTTAATATATGGTATTTTATACATATTTTATATCGCCACTAGTTTTATTTTTACAACGTATAATTACATCATCAAATCTATTGGATGTTTGAAATCAATTTTATAAATTTATTTGAAGAACTCAAAAGAATCGAATCAGGAGTAAAATTATGGCCGACTATTTTGAAAGTTAATATTGGAAATTTTATTTTAGGATAGGATCTTACAAAATTGCATCGATACACCTCAATCTAGTGGATTAATAGAATACAGGCTCTCTTCTGTGAAAAAGCAAGATGAAATATGGATTTTTGTAGCCCTCTCGTAATTCTCAGCCAGATCTCTCTTTCTGCATGTTATTCTTATATGGGTATGTACTACACTCACTTTGAAGAGCTGAAACAACTTGAAAAATCAGTGGAAAATATATACAGAGGGAACCCTTTATATCGAAACACTGAAGATACCGAGTTTCATTTTAAGAACTATGAACATATAGAGTTTTATAAAACAATACTTAAAGTTTCACCGCATAAGTTTCTTTTCTGTGAAAAATCAATATTTATTTCAAAGAAAAATATTTACTATTTCTAACTTTTTTGGATGAAGTATGAAAGGGTGAAAATATGAAGAGTAATGGCGAACGGATAATGTATTATAAGTTACTTTAAGTATTATTTACGAACGGAAAAATACGTCCAAGGTAGCCTAGTGGACATGGCATCTGCCCGGTAAGCGGAAGGTTGTGGGTTCGATTCCCGCCCCTGGACACTTTTATTTTTCCGTTCGCCATTACTCTTCATATTTTCACCCTTTCATACTTCATCCAAAAAAGTTAGAAATAGTAAATATTTCTCTTTGAAATAAATATTGATTTTTCACAGAAAAGAAACTTATGCGGTGAAACTTTAAGTATTGTTTTATAATCACACGCCGCAGTCCTTTATAATATAGAGTTTTCTTTGAAATATTTGTTGGATATTATTATTCGTTACACAGAAAAAGGCATCTCCTTATCGTGCAACTGAAAGTTGCTGATGGCTGACGCCATCTATAGGAATAAATATTAACTAATCGCTGATTTTTTAATTATTAAAGAATTGGACAAATACCCATTCTTGATTAATCAAGAAAAGCTAACCACGTACGCGTTTCGGGCTATTGGCCCTCGTCAACGTGGTGTAAGCTGTACCTCAACGACCAAAAACTGGTTTTTCAGGCATCCTGAAAAAATCATGAACTTTCATCTTTCAGTTGCACGATAAGGAGATACCTTTTTCTTAATTTATCCACCTTATCTCAGAACAATTTAACATTTGTACTATTTTTTCAAATATATATATATATATTTCTCAATTTTTTTGTTCTGTGTAATATATCTGTTTAAATTCAGTCCGATAAACAAATGTTACCATATATATTTTTAATATAGTACAATTTTATAATTATATCACATTTATTTATTTATTTATTATCGTCAAATCAGAAGCGATATCCCCACAAGAGATGCCTGCGTCAAAAAACAACATTAAATTCAGATACTATATTACATAAACAATTGAATAATTACAAGGTATGAGTAGAGTATAACATAAAGAGATAAAACATAAACAGTAGAACCTCTCATGTATATAGTATATCACGTTAAGATATTCTATTCTCTTCTTGAGGTAGACATTTATAGGAGGTGGGTTGGATTAAGACAAATCAGTTTTGATTTTGCAAATGTAATCACTCATGTCATAAATTGTGCCCTAGCTTCTCTTATAACAGAACATTCTTGTTATCTCTACATTTTAAATAATAAAATAGCAATTCTGGAATAATTGAAATCCAAGGATTAGTTGATATTTATTCTGATAAATAGCGTAAGCCATCAGCAACCTTTATTTACACGATCAGAAGATGACTTTTATCTTAATTTATCCACCTGATCCCACTACAATCTCACTTTTGTACTATTTTTATATTTAAAAAAGGTTGAGTTAATTTTATCCCCAAACTCATAAAAATATATTTTTTTTTATACCAAAGAGGTACCTTATAATAGCCAGAACCAACCAATATTTCACAATTGTTTAAAACCAAATCAATATTCAATCATTTTTTAGGATTAATTTCGTTTTGATTAAGGGTCAACACAGCACTTTTTCATTGGTTGCTATGGAATTATTCAGCATTCGATGGCGTCATTGTTGCTAAGGTGTATCAACAATGGTTATTGACAACTGTTACTGATGAAAGTATCTCGAATTGACATCAAGGTGTGGAAAGTCGTTCATTTGAACCAGTTTGAGCTTTTTGAGCAGGTTTGATTTGACCCGTTTATGACCCGTGATCGGTTTATTTCAGTTCAGACCAGTTTAGTTTGATTATTTTAGTGAAGTTTAGAAAATTCAGACAATTCAGATTAGTTTAACCAGGTTAGTTAGACCAGATTAGAACCTTTCAGACTCTTTTAGTTAGACAGGTTTAGAGCAGTTTAGTTAGACAATTTTATTTCAGTGTAGATCAATTTAGACCTGTTTAGTTGGACCATTTTATTTAGACCAATATAACCAAATTTAGACCAGTTTAGGACAATTTAGTTAGACCAGTTTAACCGAATTTAGGGCAGTTTATTCATACCTTTTATATGTTAGAGTAGTTTAACCTAATTTAGACCAGTTTAGTTAGACCATTTGAGTTAGACCAATATAACCAAGTTTAGACCAGTTTAGGACAATTTATTTAGACCAGTTTAACCAAGTTCAGATAGGTTTAGTTAGACCAATTTAGGCCAGTTTATTTAGATCATTTCAATCAAGTTTATACCAGTTTAGTTAGACCCTTTTAGACCAATTTTAATTAGGCCCGGTTTCCACTAGCGACATACTTATAGATATTGGTAATATAATTTGCACTAAATTATCGCTCCATGTGTATATATATTAATGCATGTATAACTTAATTTTTTATAAAATTGATTATAAAAACCTGATCTATAAATAAGTAACAAGTTCGACAATAAATGTGTAAAGTGTTATAGTCAAGTTTAGTTTTCTTCACATACTGGAGAGTTCTAACTTGTATCAATGGGGAACACACAATTTATTGCTTTTATTTGAATATAAAATCCATTAATATGTTATATAAAAATATTCTTTTATTTAAAATTATATTTCATCGATTCAAATGCTCTGTTAAATCTCCAATCAGAGGTCACGCGCTCCCCTATAAAAACACATTGTTGTTGTTTCCCGATGGCCGGCTCAAAGCATTTGTACATTATGTAAATAAGTTTTCCATTTTTTTATTCTTACGCCTTAAGCCAGGCATTACTTTTATCAAATTATGTTTTTTATATATATTCCTTTAGTACAATTAAAGCTATTTTTGATAACTAATTTAATTTAATTATTGCTACGACTGCAGAACAATGTTACATGCTCATGGATTCCGGGATCAAGCAAATGACCAATAATTCCTCTACAAGAAATTTATCCCATAACAGAAAACTCTTTTTTTTATAACATATTTATATAATTGAAATGAAGGCGATAAAAACGTGGTGCTTTTTTTCATATATATTATTAGAATTAAATAACAACACATACACACTAAATTATTGGTATAAATATAGAATATTTTTAAACTTGTAGTGTATCAATTCTACAGTTAATCAGAAAAGCTAGAATGTCGATAAAATGAAAAAAAGTAGACTCGAAGACCCGCAGTGGTTGTTAGGTCTTTCCACCAAGACCATGTATAGCTGATTACTAGCTGATACCATTGTTTACTTCTTGTTTCCATTTTGGGGACCTCGGGTTCAATCCATATAAGATGAAATATCTAATTAAATAGATAAATATTTATATAAGGATGAGAGAAAGGATGTCTCTTTTATGACGTCGTGTAACAAGACGAACTTCAGAACAAAATGGTTTTTGTCATGATAATATATGGACAATATATAGCGGGGGAATATTTACATATACAAACACACACTCCAATCAATACCATCTTGTATCATCACATTGTGAATAGGATTGTATAAATGGAAAACAATCAATACAGATGAAATATACACAATCATGACAACAACAACCTTTTAATTAGATATTACGTCTTATATGGACTGAACCCGAGGTCCCCAAAATGGAAACAAGAAGTAAACAATGGTATCAGCTAGTAATCAGCTATACATGGTCTTGGTGGAGAGACCTAACAACCAATGCGTGTCTTCGAGTCTGCTTTTTTCATTTTTCGACATTCTAGCTTTTCTGATGAACTGTAGAATTGATACACTACGAGTTTTAAAATAATCTATATTTATACCAATAATTTAGTGTGTATGTGTTGTTATTTAATTCTAATAATATATATTAAATATTTTTGATATTATATGTGTGAATAAATTTTATTTCTTGTATAATTATTGTTCTAAAATCTAAATTTAGATAATTTTAACTCTCTCTCTCTCTCTCTTTCTCTCAAACTAGAAATAATGTGTATATTTATTTTAACACTATGTACATAATATAGTTTTAAAATTTATACGCAATTATCCACATAGGATATAGCGTGTGTTTTGTAATAAATAGATAAAAAATCAAGTAGACAAAGTTCTTGTCAGCCAATGTAAGAGAGAAAATCATACAAGAGAAGGAATCGCCTGACATCATCTTGAAGAAGGAATCAAAGTTTACAGCGACATGATTCTTTTATTATTTTTTTTAAGAAACTCGCCGCCGTAAACTTTGATTCTTTCTTCAAGAGGAAATCTTGTAAATATTTGACTTGTTGAAAGGTATATGTGGAACTGCCAACTTCTATCTTCCCCTTGAAGTAAGGAACAATGAGGACACTAAAGGTAAATCCTGTAAAATATGAAATGAATATTAAAATTAATAGCAAGTCCAATTAGTCTATCATGTTCACTATTTACAAGGTAGGGCTGAGAAATTAAGTTAACGAGGAGTATAGGTTTTGTAATTTGATCTTTTTCATACTGTTCAAATAACAAGTTGTTCGGAAGCTCTCTCGTTGTAACACACACCTTTATAAAATAAAATTATCGGTTAACATAATTGTTGTATATATATTAATAATTTGTATATATAAAACTATCTAGAAACACTAATTTAATCAACAGACGTAATAATGAATATATAATTATTATAGGCACAGTGTTATGTTAATTAGCTCTAGGTAAAGGAAGGGGGGGGCTTATTTTATTTATTTTATTTATTTATTGTTACAAAAGCACGAAGTCCAAAGGACTATTGTGCTGTGCTAGTATTATTTACAAATATATGATTAATTATTTACACGATGGATTAGTATTGTTTTGTAAATTATTGTACAAATAGTTCTAAACTTAACAAAGTTCTCATAAGATAGAGTATATACACAAAGAGAATTTGGTAATGTTTCAAAGTATCTACATACAATTTGATTAGTCAGAGGGCAAGTTAAAAGAAGATGCTCTGGTGATTCAACATCTAAGCGGCATTCACATGTCGGATCATTGATAGCATTCAGTTTGAATAGGAAGGGGGGGGCTTATATAAACATATAAAATATATATAGGCTGAGGATGAAATAAGTAACTGGATGAAGTTACAATATAATTTCAATATTTAAAATCTATTGTAGAGATTCGATCCTTCTCCTTATAAAAATAACTCCTCAATTCAGGATTCGAGATCGGGTTTCGGTTGTGGAATTTCGACAGTTTATGACGCCATTTAATTTTCTCTCTCTGTTCCTTTTCTTTAGACCTTGTCTT